TACGAAACTTTTAACATCATGGATTTAGCTGTTCAAGTCATATACTTGTTCGTCTCAAGTCCTTAAACACTGTGTATAAATTTAAAGTCAATCGGATATTAACTTTAGCCTCTAGAGCTTCCACAAGATTTTTCAAGGTGATCAAGGGCCATAACTCCGGCAAAAATTATCGGAAATCGCTGAAAATCAATAGGATTCTTCGTCTTATGACCTTAAACACTGTATATAAATTTAAAATCAATCGGATATTAACTTTACCCTCTAGAGCGTATACAAGATTTTTCGAAGTGATCAAGGGCCATAACTCTAGCTGTAATTATCGGAAATCGCTGAAAATCAATAGGATTCTTCGTCTTATGACCTTAAACACTGTGTATAAATTTAAAGTCAATCGAATATTAACTTTACCCTCTAGAGCGTCCACAAGATTTTTCAGTGATCAAGGGCCATAACTCTAGCTGTAATTATCGGAAATCGCTAAAATCAACAGGCTTCTTCTCATGACCGTAAACACTGTGTATAAATTTAAAGTCAATCGGATATTAACTTTGACCTCTAGAGCGTCCACATAATTTTTTGAAGTGATTAAGGGCCATAACTATGGCAGTAACTATCGAAAATTGTTGAAAATCAATAGGCTTCTTCGTCTCATGACCTTAAACACTGTGTATAAATTTAAAGTCGATCGGATATTAACTTTGACCTTTAGAGCGTCCACAAGATTTTTCAAAATGACCAAGGGCCAGAACTCTGGAAGTAATTAGCGAATATCGCTGAAAATGATTAGACTTCTTCGTCTCATGACCTTAAACACTGTGTATAAATTTAAAATCAATCGGATATTAACTTTACCCTCTAGAGCGTCCACAAGATTTTTTGAAGTGATCAAGGGCCATAACTCTGGCAGTAATTATCAGAAATCGCTGAAAATCAATAGGCTTCTTCATCTCATGACCTTAAACACTGTGTATAAATTTAAAGTCAATCGGATATTAACTTTAGCCTCTAGAGCGTCCACAAGATTTTTTGAAGTGATCAAGGGCCATAACTCTGGCAGTTATCGGAAATCGCTGAAAATCAATAGGCTACTTCGCCTCATGACCGTAAACACTGTGTATAAATTTAAAGTCAACCGGATATTAACTTTAGCCTCTAGAGCGTCCACAAGATTTCTTTAAGTGATCAAGGGCCATAACTCTGGCAGTAATTATCGGAAATCGCTGAAAATCAATAGGCTTCTTCGCTTCATGACCTTAAACACTGTGTATAAATTTAAAGACAACCGGATATTAACTTTAGCCTCTAGAGCACCCACAAGATTTTTTGAAGTGATCAAGGGCCATAACTCTGGCAGTAATTATCGGAAATCGCTGAAAATCAATAGGCTTCTTCGTCTCATGGCCTTAAACACTGTATATAAATTTAAAGTCAATCGGATATTAACTTTAGCCACTAGAGCGTCCACAAGCAATTGTGGACGCCGGCCGGCCGGCCGACACTATACGACCACATTTCAATGTGGGCGTATAAAAACTGGCTCACATAAATGTATTAAAAAAATAATAAATGCATACACTATACCCTAATCTAATGGTTAAAGACAAACGTCGTGTTATTTAATGTTGTTTTTACAGAGTTATCTACACTTAAATTTACTCAATTTGATTCTTTAACATTGAATCAAAAATACATTATGTTAGATTTAGATAAAGAGCTGACCATTCTGGTTAACATAGGCGTACGGGGAAATTTTTGACTGGGGGGTAGGTGGTGGTTGGTGCCCCAAAAATGTAGTTAGGTTCTTAGTATGTTACATAATAATAATAAATTCGCTGTTAAATTGGACACATTCAAGAACACAATATCTTTTTTTATACAACTTTTACAAAATACAATTGTGTGCCCAAATTTATCCCAGCATTTGGTGCCCAAAATGTGGGGGCTGCCGCCCCCCCCCCCCCAGCTCGTACGCCTATGTGGTTAAAGATACATTATGTAAGATTTAGATAAAGAGCTGACCATTCTTGCTATAATAACTCGAAATAAGATAATGTAAAATGAAAATATTGAAAATTTCATTCAAATTACTTCATTCTGAGCCAAGTTATCACTGTTTGTAGATTTGACAAGTTAAGTGCATCATGCTAACCAGGGCGTTCCCATTTCTAAATTAAATATTTAAATGGCGAACCTTTCTAATCTAGTTAAAATCTCAAGTATCCGATGCCATTTGAGAGTTTATTATGGTCTTCATAAGTTAATAAATGTCTAATTAATAGTTTATATAACTTTTAAGGCCTAAAGAAAGACCTGCAATAGGCAGATTTAGATCTTGCATAATGTATGTTTAATTGTAAATAATCTCCTTACTTCCAGTGTAAACAGGCTGCAGAATGTTTGCAGATTTCCAATTCAACATACCTTCGTAAATACTAAACATATTAGAGATTCAATTAGTTGGCAAATGAAAATGCAATCCTTGGCTTGAATGGTTTCCCCATCAAATACTAATATAATTATATATTCTAGTATCTCATCTCTTTAACTACTAAATGTACATGTATTTATTTCTATAACTTTCATTTAATTAATCATATTCCATAAATCATTTGCTGCATATATATTTCTATAACTTTCATTCAATTAACCATATTCAGAGACAGACTATAAATCATTTGCTACATATGTACAAAGTAGTTATTTTGAGAGAGAGAGAGAGAGAGAGAGAGAGAGAGAAATGGGGTTTAACGTCCACTCGACACAAACAAGGTCATTTCGGGACTAACATATGGTTTAATTTTATTTCAATAATTCGCTTGCGCATAGGAGTCTTTAGCAGTGGGAGGAAAACGGAGGACCCGGAGAAAACCCATGAGGTTGGACAGGCGACCCTACTCCTTGTCATGTACAACCGGGGATTCGAAACCACGCCAGTCGACTCAATGACAGACTTTATGATACAAGGCGCGCACGCTAACCATTCAGCCACCCAACCCCAGAGAGAGAGAGAGAGAGAGAAGGGGTTTACCGCCCCAGGACACAAACTAGGTCATTTCGGGACTAACATATAGTTCAAATTTATTTCCATAATTCGCTTGCGCGTAGGGGTCTTTAGCAGTGGGAGGAAACCGGAGGACCCAGAGAAAACCCATGAGGTTGGACAGGCGACCCTACTCCTCATCACAATCGAACGAAACCACGCCAGTTGACTCAATGACAGACTTTTTAATACTGCGTGCACGTGCTAACCATTCGGCCATCCAACCCCCCTGCAGTATATAGCAACCAAGTAGGACCTTCTCTGCCATACAATGAACCACCACTAGGCAATAGTGACAGTCCGTATAATAATAGCTAAGTGACTGAACAATATAATATGTACAGAAGGCTATGTACAATGTAGTCTGTACAATAATGGCTCTGGGCGTCGAGTACTCTAAAGTGTACATTTTAAAGCTAGCACTGTAAGGTTTGTTCATAAGAGATGACATTTTTTGTTATTTCGGGAAATAAACTACATATCATTCAGCAAATAAATTCCAGTTTTATTTACCAACCATGTTCCAAACTTGGCCCAAAAGTATGATAATACAGGCTGCTGATGACAACTTAAGTCAAATTTTCTCCGTTACACCTGCATGGATTTTTATCAAATTTTGCATGAAGAATTCTAAATGCAATTACAAGAAACCTAAGGAACATTTTTTGGCTATAAACCGTGTTTGGATGGTATTAATGGAAACACCAAAAAATCGATAGATAGAAATGTTACAAGCGACATTTCGGCAGCAAATGGTAAAATAATATCTACTGAATTTTTAAAAAAATCTTTTTTCATTATTGTTATATGTCCTCTGGGTTATTTTACACTTGAAACAAGTTTGCAAAGTCTTAATAAGATTGGCGTTGAAAAGTTAGTGTGTATCTTAAAATGCCCTTAAAGGCTCAATACCACTCTTATTGTAACTGAATAATATGTCCCAATCTTTATTCTGGTCAACAAATTGTACTATTTTAGAATATTTCAATTAATTGATGATACAAATTTCATCTTAACACACCTTATTTAAAAATTTTGAAAAATTCAACATAATGGTTTGAAAAGTCTAACGTAAACCTTTTCAAATGAAACTTCGATTTAAAAATATTTTCGAACCCTCTGGACAAGTAAAATAGGATATAATGGATAATTTACACAACAGGTAGGACACTTAAACATCTAGTACTTAGATAGAGATATTATTTATTTTCTGGAGCTTTCAAGCCAGCAAGAGTGTTATTGTCCCTTTAAGTGAACAATTATTAATCATAGATACATGTATATGATATTAGAATTTGTCTTGTCTAACTAAAATGCATACATTTACTCTAGTGACATATTTTTAATATATATTCTAAATGTTAAGTCGCCTAAGCTTTTGTATATATATATATGTATCTATAATTTAATTTAGAGAGGGTTTAACGTCCACTCGACACAAACTAGGTCAGTTCGGGACTAACACATGGTTCAATTTTATTTCAATAATTTGCTTGCACATAGGGATTTTTATCAGTGGGAGGAAACAGGAGAAAGCATAGAGGCTGGAGGTACATGTAGGGGTCTTTAGTAGTGGGAGAAAACCAGAGGACGCAGAGAAAAACCATAAGGTTGGATGGCATAGTCTAATCTACTCAATATCTAAGCTATTCGATGCTCTAGAGAGTTGATCCTCAGCTTGTCATGTGAATGCATGACAAAAATAATAATAGCATTTGAAGCTATAAAAACAAAGATTTATAGGCAAGTTTAGCTCTGACATAATGCCCCTTTTAAACGGCCTAAGATAATTTGAGCCAGTTTATAATTAAGATAAAAAACACAATTTACATGTATATGGAATAAAATCACTGGTTTATACACATATAGCACATTGTTTCGACATTGTTTGTACTTGATAACGATAAGAGAATACTTGTTGAAACGTCGTGCTATATGTGTATAAACCAGTGATTGTATTCCATATAAATTGTGTTGTGTTTTTTAATGTGCTCAATCAATAAATGCCACTCAAGTATTAAGTTTATATCTAAAGATATATTTGCTCGCTATGTTCCTGTTACATTATAAATATACATTTTGAAATTCCATAAATATATAAATGCAAGTAGCGGTTAAATGTACAGGTACCGGTAAATGAGAATTCTTAAAAAATCAATTAAACAACCCAACTGATTATTGACGTATATAATAATTAATTTTTGAACAGTATTCTTCAGGAATTTAAATACTTGTAAATTGGACACTCGCTATCAAAATTAACCTGTCACTATCAGCTTTAAACTGTACAAATTAGATGATTTTTAAACGATTTTTATGAAGTTTTAACCAAAGATTTGATATTAGATGAATGTGAAAGAAATTAGTGCTACATACACAAGATTAAATAATACCCGGGTTACAGTGTATGATGTAAATAAAATTAATTAGGTTTCCTGCTTAAACTTAAACCAACAATATCATGTCTGAACTTGTTATACATGTGACGTCGCATATTTCATTACCCCTTTGTTCGTATAAATGTGAATTTGAGTCTGGATTTCATTATAATTACATGGAATTGTATCTGCAGCGGTCTTATTCCATTTATAATTAATATATGACAACACAAGCAATGAATTATGTATACACGCACTGTACAGTTTTGACACAATTCAACCATGAAAACATTAAAGGTCACCGGAAAAGCTTCATAAATTTTTTAAATAATGCAAGTAATTATGTCAACATATCCATGGAGAACGGCAGAAATTGTTAACCTTGAAATTTACCTGTTTAAGGTAATATTGACGTTCGGGTTCGTGTTATACTTATGGAAAGGATATGTTGACATAATTAATTACTAGCATTATTTAAAAAAAATTGATGTTTCTCCGGTGACCCTGAACTTTATATGTTTTAATACAAATTAGTCCATAAAGAATATGTACAACACAAGCACTAAGAATAACAACTTGTTTTTAAAATGGAATAATAAACAAACACAACACACCAATCTGATTAAAGTACAGATCTATATTTACTTTCGTTTTCTTTTATACTTTCGATGGCCTCTACTACATGAAGATCTGACCGGTTGTAGCGACAGGTTGCGTCAGAGGTCATGCGAGCGGCTTTTGACCTATGACGTCAGACATCTGATTAACCAATCAGCATTGATGTTAACCAATCAGGATTACCCCACAGTTATGTGCAAAACACACCTAAAGCTCGCCGTAACAGACCGTGTCATTGGCTAACCCCTCACATTATCCAGAACACGTCAATGATAACAACTCTTCCGGGTCCTAGTGTAGTAAAGACAAGTAAAACGAAATTTTGAACTATAAAAAACGAAAAGAAATAGGATCTGTGTTTGAATCAGATTGCACAACACACATTGTCATATTATATCGTATATATAATTAATTCACTCCCATTCCGTTGTACCCGGGGGTTTGGCTGTTAGGTCATAAAGAACACGGGATATCCCCGGTACTGTTTCAATTTCCTTCACCATTTGATTGAGAACTTCCTCAGGTAGATTTTTATCAGGAGTAGCAGGTATACCGGTCATAAAATCATTGGTAATAAAGGTACGAATAACAATCGATCTTTGACAAGAAGGAGAGTGGGACATTGGTGGACGGTCGAAGTGAACAGGTATGATAACGATGGGCATCTGACTGATATTTCTCACACAGTTTGCATCTTGTAAGACTTTAGTTGCCAAAAAGTCCGCTCGACGCAGAGTGCTTAAAACTCCTTCGGTCAGGAAAGTGGGCGTAATGCTATCTACAGGGTGTTTTATACTTTCTCCAAAGACATAGACGATACGATTTATACTGTGGCAAATACGAGGTATTACCTTCGCCAGTGTCATTAAGTCACCCCATTTTGGGTCGTCATCGGAGGATAAGGCGGCCACGTAACTGTACGTTCGACTGTCACCTTGAACACCGACCGTTTTAATAGGAAGCAGTGTAGCTGTCAACGGATAACTGGCTGTGATTTCTTTCAACACTTTTCGTTCTTTCTCGGTCGTACATTTATGGATAGTGTCTAATATACTTTGGGAAGATTTGGAAGAATTTGAAAAATCTACGATAAGTTTCAGGAGAATACTAGTTTCAGTGAAATCTTTTCCAATGTATGGTTCATCTGCACATATTACTCGAATTGCTAATCCTGGACCAGGAAATGGATGTCTTTGTACTAAATCAGCTGGTAGTCCAAGATCTTTTCCAATCACACGGACCTCATCTTTATGAAATTCCTTAAGAGGTTCCACGATTTTTCCTTGTTTACGAAGTTCTCGCACCATGAAAGTGTCGTTATGATGTGTCTTAATCGCATCCGCTTTGCCGCTAGCCAAGCATGAAGCACTTTCTATCAAATCTGGGCGCAGAGTTCCTTGTCCCAAGTATACCTCGTCAGGATTTAAGTTCAATGCTTTTATATAATCATTTGCGACTTTCATAAACGTATCTCCAATTATTTTACGTTTCTCCTCGGGGTTTGTTGTTGTATTCAAAGTCTTAGTTCGACGTTTTATGGAGTTATTTTGTTCGTCTGTCACGGAGGTAGTTGAACTGTAAAATGTAATTCCTGCACGTATTACTTTCACTTTCAACCCAATTTTCGAAAGCGACGTCTCAACACAGCTACTCTCATCTTTCCTCATGAACCCATTATCAATGTGAATAGCAATGACTTGGTCTTTCTTTAAAGCTTTGTTTAGCAGTGCAGCGCAAACAGTAGAATCAACTCCACCACTCAATAACATCAGAACTTTATGATCGCCAACTACCTCTTTAATATAGTCTATACATGACTGTTCACGACATTTCATTGTGAAGGAACCATGACAACCTGATATATCATATAAAAAGTGAGACAACATTTTAATTCCATCGATAGTTAAGTCCACTTCAGGATGAAACTGAACGCCATAGATTCTTAATTTTTCATTGGCAATGGCTGCGACAATATCTCCAGATTCTGCTACAATAGTAAAACCATCTGCTATTTTTTCCACGCTATCTCCATGAGTGAGTAAAACGTGTTGTGTTTTTTCTAGGCCTTTAAATAACTGACACTTGTCGTCAACAGTGATGTCGAACTGGCCGTCTTCTCTTACGTCTTTCTTGGAAACGGTGCCACCGAATTGTTTATTTATCATTTGAAAACCATAACAAATTCCAAGAACGGGTATACCGATGTTGAAGATATCGGAATCATAGATGGGAGCATCTATATCGTTGACAGAATTTGGTCCCCCTGAAATTATGATGGCTTTATAATTTGTATCCTTCAGTTCAATCGCTGGTGTGTCGAGTGGCAAAATTACTGATTCCACATTCAATTCCCTGACCCTTCGGTCAATGACCTTGCCATATTGGGCGCCTGCGTCTAAGATGCAGATCCTTTCTGGCGAACCCTCTATGTGTTTGTCACTATTCTTTTTATTCGACCCATTCATCGCTTATTTTGACTAGTAAAAACACGTGCTAAATGCAACTTGCGCGATTTCGGGGGAAAAAGAGAATTCACTCGGCACAACGCGTCTTGTGCAACTTCCGCCAAGAACAGGAAGTCACCTAGACCTTATGCAAACGGTCTAAAGTCCAAAACACAAGTAAATGCAAAGTCCAGTGAGTTGTATTTAAAGACGGTAGTGACAGTTGTTACGTACTCAGAGAAACATTTGAAATGGCAGTAAATACAGGGTAAGTCATTATTTGATGCAGGACCCGATCTGGTAAATTATGCAAATGTCAAATGCCCCATGCAAATTTAATATGCCCCCAGTACACCCCCGTATCCAGCTGGGGGCAAGGACTGTGAAGGTGCAGTAATACCCCCCCCCCCCAAAAAAAAAAAAAAAAAAAAATTGCCAACCAGTCTTAGCCTCATTCAACTCATTGTTTACATTCAAACAACATTGCAGCTTGTTCACTCGATAATGACAAAGTTTGCCAGAAATTTAATATGAAAGAAAATAGAAAAGGCATGCACACAAAAAGATGTCTTATGGAAAAGATGTTTTATGTCAGTCAAAACTGGCTTTCATTCAAGTGTATCCTGTTATTGGTCATCAAGGGCAGATAATTTGAATACATGTCTTCCCCATGGATACACCCAGGGATTGAGGTGGAACAGAATGAGACCAATGGGGATAGGCCTACTCTGAAGACACTAGTTTAATTCGCGTTCATCTGAATCATTTACAACGCGCAAACAAGCGAACTTGTGTGTAACCAATCATGCTCAGCATCTATTCCTAGGATTCCTTGTTGGTATATCATCGTGGGGGGGGGGGGGCGGTCACGGTGGCTAAGTGGGTAAGATGCTGGCTCACTAGCCTGGAGGTCGGGTGTTCTATCCCTGCATTGGCAAAGAAAGTTCATCCAGGTTTTCTGGCGTGGTTCCCCCTTGTCAGTGATGCAGGACGGAGGGCTTGACAAGGACAGCTGTCTAGTCCTTCGGATGGGACGGACAACTGAGGTCCCGTGTATATATTGGAATGCACGTAAAAGATCCCTCCACATTTGGAATTCAATATAAGAGTAGGTCATAGTGCCGCTGTCCGGGCAAAATTCCCCTCATAGCACACTGTGTATGGCATATGCCTGTCTTCATTAGCCCAGTTCGGAGTAGGACGTGAAACTCCATTTCATTTCATTTATTTATAAATCATTATTTTTTAACAGAAAACTGGCTGGCCGTACATTGTTTATAACTGGTGCTAGTCGTGGTATTGGTAAAGCTATTGGTTTAAAGGCAGCTAGAGATGGTGCTAATGTGGTTATAGCAGCTAAAACATCAGTACCACATCCTAAACTCCCGGGTACTATTTATACTGCAGCTAAGGAAAGTAAGACACAGTTTATTATAGAAAAGAAGAAACTTCAATAACATAGCTTGAACATGACAAAGAGTAGGGTCTCCTGTCCAACCTCATGGGTTTTCTCCGTTTTTCTCCCACTGCTAAAAACCCCTACACACAAATTATTGAAATAAAATTGAAGCAAATGTTAGTCTCGAAATGACCAAGTATGTGTCAAGTTGACATTAAACCATTTCTTCCTCTCTATTTGAACCAGATAATCCATATGAAGAAGGATTTTCATCTGAAAACAAATTCATCAAATTGCTATATTTTTAATCCAGGTTATATTCGAAACATATTTTACTGATAAAATTGAAGGCTGTAATAAGTACAATCTGATTAAAACACAGATCCTATTTCGTTTCGTTTTTTTATAGTTCAAAATTTCGTTTTACTTATCTTTACAACACTAGGATCTGGAAGAGTTGTTATATAACACACGTTCTGGATGGTGTGAGGGATTAGCCAATGAAACAGTCTGTTACGGCTAGCTATTGGCATGAGGTGCACAGAACTGTGGGAAACCCACTAGAAACATCAACGCTGATTAGTTAATCAAATGTCTAACGCCATAGGGTCAAAAGCCACATGTATGACCTCAGACGCCACCTTCCATTACAACCGGTCATGTAGTAGAGGCCATCGAGAAAGAGAGAGATGGGGTTTAACGTCCACTCACAAAAACTGAACTATGTCATTTTGGGACAAACATATGGTTCAATTTTATTTCAATACTTCGCTTGCGTGTAGGGGTTTTTAGCAGTGGGAGGAAACTGGAGAACGCGGAGAAAACCCACGAGGTTGGACAGGTTGTCACATATAATCAGGGAATCGAAACCACACCAGTTGACTCAATGACTGACCTTTGATACAACGCACACCATCAAATAGCTCCTTGGTTCACAAGGAAAACAAATAAAATATAACATCAGCTTTTTACTTATTAGTATATGTTTTTATTTTAAACAGTTGAAGAAGCTGGTGGCAAGTGTTTCCCATGTGTTGTAGATATATTGTTTTTATTTTAAACAGTTGAAGAAGCTGGTGGCAAGTGTTTCCCATGTGTTGTAGATATATGTTTTTATTTTAAACAGTTGAAGAAGCTGGTGGCAAGTGTTTCCCATGTGTTGTAGATATATGTTTTTATTTTAAACAGTTGAAGAAGCTGGAGGCAAGTGTTTCCCATGTGTTGTAGATATATTGTTTTTGTTTTAAACAGTTGAAGAAGCTGGTGGCAAGTGTTTCCCATGTGTTGTAGATATAAGAAACGAAGAGGATGTAAATAAAGCTGTTGAAGAAACTGTTAAAAGATTTGGTGGTATTGATATACTGGTTAACAATGCTAGCGCTATCAGTCTTACCGGTACAGAAGCCACACCCATGAAGAAATTTGATTTAATGATGGGAGTCAATACAAGAGGAACATATCTATGGTAAGTTTGAGTCATTCAAGTGGTGTGGTTTCAATTCCATACTTGTACGTAACGTAACAGGAGGTAGGGTCGTCTGTCGAACATTGTGGGTTATCTCCAGGTACTCCAGTTTCCTATCACTGCTAAAGACCCTAAAGACCCCTGAGTGCAAATGAATTTAATCCTTGAGTGGTATTTAGCGATTGAACACATTAAAAACACAACACAGTTTATATTTAAATACAATGTGCTTGATAACGATAAGAGAATACTTGTCGAAACGGGCTTGATAACGATAAGAGAATACTTGTCGAAACGTCGTGTTATGCCTGTAAACCAGTGATTGTATTTCCATATAAACTGTGTTGTGTTTTTGGAAATGAATTATTGAAATAAAATTGAACGATGTGTTAGTCCCGAAATGACCTAGTTTGTGTGAATGGACCTAACATCGACCATGAGTAGGGTCGCCTGTCCAGCCTCGTAGGTTTTCTCCGGGCCCTCCGGTTTCCTCCCACTGCTAAAGACCCCTACGCACATACGAATTATTGAAATAAAATTGAACTGTATGTTAGTCCCGAAATGACCTAGTATGTGTTAGTGGTTGTTATACTGCTAAAGATCCGTAAGGGTAAACGAATTATTGAAATAAAATTGAACTGTATGTTAGTCCCAAAATGAACTAGTATGTGTGAATGGAGGTTAAAATCTCTCTCGCTCTCTCTCTTTCTCTCTCTCTCTCCCCACCTACAGCGTGCTCTGCTCTGCTCTGCTTTGACCTTCTCTGCTCTGCTCTGCTTTGACCTTCTCTGCTCTGCAACTCTGCTCTTGTCTCCTCTCTCTCTTTTTTGGTGCCTTTGTTGCAAAACATTTAATAGCCATGCATATTTTACACTATATGACAAATTCATCCATCATTCTTTATAGTGTGTCCATTCGAACAACAATTATAAAACTTGTACATTTGAAATGATAAACTTTAATCATATAATATAACATATGTATTAATCTATATATCGATGCCATAGTTCTGGAAGGTTGTAAGTGCCAGTTATGACCCAAATAGCTTTTTTGCGGGGTTTCTCTATGCAAAATTTCAGAACTGTAAGGTCGTAACTTCGACAAAAAAATTGCTTTTAAAAATGTTGATTTCCTCTCATATCTCAAAAAATAAATCTGACAATCTTTGAGACTTAACACCTTTCAGATCTATGACATCGATATATAAAACTAATCGTATAATAATATTTGTATTTTGTTTTATTCAGCTCTAGAGCATGTTTACCATATTTAAAGAAAGGAAGCAACCCACACATTTTAAACCTTAGTCCTCCATTAAATTTAAATCCAGTTTGGTTCAAAGGACATGTTGGTAAGAAGATTTACTTACCTAAATAAATAGACCAAATTTATGTTTTATAAAAAAAACAATTTGTATCTTTAATCATTTTGTTGGGATTTTTCAGCATGGTTCCACCTTGTCAGTGGTGAAAATTAGTCCACGATTCACAGTAATAAACGTTTTTCATTATCAACGTGTTCCGATCCCTGCATTGGCCCAGAAAGTTTATTGGGGTTTACCAGCGTGGTTCCTCCTTGTCAGTGGTGCAGGACAGTGTGCCTTGCAAGGGACAAAATATAGTCCTTTGGATGGGACATAAAACCGAGGTCCTGTGTACACATTGGCGTGCACGTAAGAGATTCCTCGACAATTGGAATTCGTTATAAGAGTAGGCTGAAGCGCCGCTTTCTGGAGAAAATTTACCTCATAGCACACTATATGGTGTACACCCGTCTTCATTAGGCCAGTCGGAGCAAAACAGTAGGACGTTAAACTCTGTTTCATTCAATTTCACTCATCAATTTACTTGGAAGTTGAAGCATATGTATATACACATTTTCAATAGAAGGCTTGATCTCGCTTTAACTCTGTACATCTTATCAAGGCCTTCACGTAATACCCTGCATATTTCGGCACTAATTTCGATTAGGTATTCACCCAGCTTGAGAGCTTATCGGATTCCTTGATCATCGCGAATAGCAAGTCTCGCGCTTTCAAGCTAAAATGTCTACCTGTGATAATCGAGTTGCAAAGTTCACAGTTTGTTCAGTGTCAAGGTTTCCGTGAAGGTGGCTATATTTTATTTGAGCGTGTTTGTGTCAGAACCTCTGATTGGGCGCTACTGTTCACGTGTGTGCAATAAATGGAGATAACATAGCAATAAGTTCGAGAATTATAAAGTAGTCTAGCAACGTCCAGATGTTTTATCGCTCGTAGCCGTTGCTCTAGGAACATGTTGTATACAGTATATGTAAATTTTTCAGCTTATACCATGGCCAAATATGGTATGTCAATGTGTGTACTAGGAATGGCAGAAGAATTTAAGAATGATCATATAGCTGTAAATGCATTATGGCCGAGGACAGGTATATTTAGTTAACAAATTAACAAAAACATATTTTATTAGTTGATTGACCTAATTGATTTTAATTGCACACTATTTGATATTTAAAAGGTGTCTTTAGCAGTGGTAGGAAACCGAAGGACCCGGAGAAAACGGGTTAGACAGGTGACCCTACTCCTTGTCACGTACAACCGGGAATTCGAAACCCCGCCAGTCGATTCAATGACAGACCTTACGATACTACGCGCACGTGCTAACCACTCGCCCATCCAACACCCGATTCACGTAAATGAACCCTTGAGCGAAATTTCCCTCTTTAGCACACTGCCTGGCGTATGTCCATCTTAATTATTAGCCCACTAGGAGCTGAATCAAGCTGATTAAATACAGATCTATTTCGTTTTGTTTTTTCATACTTTTGATGGCCTCCACTGCATGAAGATCTGACCGGTTGTAGTACAAGGTTGTGTCAGGGGTCATATGAGCGGCTTTTGACCCTATGACGTCAGCGTTGATGTTTCTAGTGCGTTACCCACAGTTCCATGCACCTCAGCAAAAAATTGCTGTAACAGACAGTTTCATTGGCTCATCCCTCACTTCAACCAGAAGGCGGGTTATATAACAACTCTCCCACATCCTAGTGTAGTAAAGACAAGTATAACAAAATTTTGCGTTATAAAAAAACGGAACGCAGTAGGATCTGTGTTTTAATCAGATTGGATCAGAACGGTAGAATGTTAAATCCCTATTTTATTTATTTATTTGTAGCTATATATATACCACAGCTATTATTAGCCCAGTATGAGTAGAATGGTATAATAACCATGTTATTTATTTTGTAGCTATGGAGATGTTAAAACCCATGTTATTTATTTTGTAGCTATATATACAGTAGCTATGGAGATGTTAAATCCTATGTTATTTATTTTGTAGCTATATATACAGCGGCTGTGGAGATAATAAAACCCATGTTATTTATTTTGTAGCTATATATACAGCAGCTGTGGAGATGTTAAAACCCATGTTATTTATTTTGTAGCTATTATACAGCAGCTGTGGAGATGTTAAAACCCTTGTTATTTATTTTGTAGCTATATATACAGTAGCTATGGAGATGTTAAAACCCATGTTATTTATTTTGTAGCTATATATACAGTAGCTATGGAGATGTTAAAACCCTTGTTATTTATTTTGTAGCTATATATACAGTAGCTATGGAGATGTTAAAGCCTATTTTATTTATTTTGTAGCTATATATACAGCAGCTGTGGAGATGTTAAAACCCATGTTATTTATTTTGTAGCTATTATACAGCAGCTGTGGAGATGTTAAAACCCATGTTATTTATTTTGTAGCTATTATACAGCAGCTGTGGAGATGTTAAAACCCATGTTATTTATATTGTAGCTATATATACAGCAGCTGTGGAGATGTTAAAACCTATGTTATTTATTTTGTAGCTATTTATACAGCAGCTATGGAGATGTTAAAACCCATGTTATTTATTTTGTAGCTATATATACAGCAGCTATGGAGATGTTAGGTGGTGGTAAAGAAATAGCTAAACAATGTAGAACAGTAGATATTATAGCTGATGCAGCTTATATGATGTTATCTAAAGATAGTAAATCATTTACTGGTAATTTCTGTATAGATGATGAGTTTTTACAAGCTAATGGTGTAAAGGATTTGGATCAATACACATGTGTACCAGGTACAGTAGTTAGAACAATTATATACTCATAGATTACAATACTCATAGATACAACAAATATGTACTCATTGGTTAGAACGATTATATACTCATTGGTTGGAACAATTATATACTCATGGATTACACCAATTATATACTCATTGATTACAACATACTCATTGATTACAACATACTCATTGATTACAACAATTATATACTCATTCATTAGAACAATTATATACTCATGGATTACAATAATTATATACTCATGGATTACAATAATTATATACTCATTCATTAGAACAATTATATACTCATAGATTAGAACAATTTTATACTCATTCATTAGAAAATATATTTGAACTGTGACGTATTGAATATTAGATGGTTTACAGTAATACTTGTTCATGCGTGATAAAATCACATGGTTGGAGTGCCATGCTTTCAATCAACATTCTATGAAGTAGTACTGTCTTTATTCTGTTCCCCAATTCAAAATGCCTTGAATGAAGAACCCACGAATACAGCACCACTACATAATATGAAATACTGAGAAAAAGTATATTTTTAGTTAAACATGGTTAAAACCCAAGTGTCTTAATAGTCCATCAGTTTGTGTAAATTGAAAGAGAGAGAGAGAAATGGGGTTTAACGTCCACTCGACACAAACTAGGTCATTTCAGGACTAATATATGGTTTAATTTTATTTCAATAATTCCCTTGAGCATAGGGGTCTTTAGCAGTGGGAGGAAACCGGAGGACCCGGAGAAAACCCACGAGGATGGACAGGCGACCCTACTCCTTGTCACGTACAACCGGGGATTCGAAACCACGCCACTTGACTCAATGACAGGCCTTATGTTACAGCGCGCACGTGCTAACCATTCAGGATTTTCAGACGTGATTTCCCCATGTCAATGATGCAGGACGGAGGGCCTGACAAGGACAGCTGTCTAATCGTTCGGATGGAACGAAAAACAGAGGACCCGTGCACACATTTGTGCGCACTTAAAAGATCCCTTTGCAGGAGGAATTCGATATAAGAGGAGGGCATAGTGCCGCTGTTCAGGCAAAATTTACTTCATAGCACACTGTATGGCGTATGCCCGCCTTCATTTCGGATGGAACGAAAAACAGAGGACCCGTGCACACATTTGTGCGCACTTAAAAGATCCCTTTGCAGGTGGAATTCGATATAAGAGGAGGGCATAGTGCCGCTGTTCGGGCAAAATTTACTTCATAGCACACTGTATGGCGTATGCCCGCCTTCATTAGCCCAGTCAATAGAGCGTTAAACCCCATTTCATTTCATTTCATTTGGACAAAGTAACTTTATTTGAACAAATCTTGATAAGCATCACTCAATCAACATCTGGCGTGGTTTCGATTGCCCGGTGTACGGTTGTACGTGACAAGGAGTATTGGCGCCTGTCCAATCTTGTGAGTTTTCTCCGGGTCCTCAGGTTTCATCCCACTGCTAAAGACCCCTATGCGCAATCGAATTATTGAAATAAAATTAAACCATATGTTGGTCCTGAAATGATCTAGTTAAACCCCATCTCTCTCTCTTCCTCTTTTGTTTCTAGTGGATGTTAAACCCCATCTCACTCTCTCTCTCTCTCTCTCTCTCTCTCTCTCCATTCCTTTGTTATCATTCGGTTGGGAAAGTATAGCATACTGTGTTATACATATATTATACAAGAGAACAGACAACTTTTATTTAGAGGACTATTTAAGAGTAATGGAATGGATACGAGAAACACTCCCTTAGTAAGGTAACTAAAGCTGGACAGGCTGGTACATTTGTGTGGATACTGGATCCAAAAGAGATGATACCGGCGGGGCAATTTTGTAGAATCAAATAAATTAAAGGATCCCCGCTCAACAGACTTGGTAGATCTGAAGATATTTTGATAATACGTTTCAGGTAGAAGTACCCTTTATCAAGTAATAGAAAGCTAATTAGAAGAAGTTGTAAATATAGCCTCACTGTTATTTTTTTTTTATTTTCAGGTTCAACACTTTTACCCGATTTCTTTTTGGATTCAGTGGATCCTAACGCATTACATAAACAGATGACGAAAGAAGGAGCTAAACCAGTATTTAATATTTCTACTGATGATTCTAATAGTCCTGCTCAAACATTTAAACAAATACAATCTTTACTTAGTCCAGAGTTAGTTCAGTCAACTAAAGGCATATACCAGTTTAAATTAACAGGTAACAATCGGATTAAAATACAGATCTATATTTCGTTTCATTTATTTTATACTTTGGATCACGTCTAGCAGGTTCCACACAGCCCAGCGGCACTGGGAGGGACTGACACCTCCTCCCCTCCCCCCCCCCCCCCCACACACATATAAATATTGATTTTTGGGGGGCCCGGATGGGATCTTATTCCTCATGCAAAATCACAGATCAACACGCCCCTGTCCGAGACTCCAGTAAAATATAAACAAATTTTCAATCTCCAACTATTGAGTCAGTGTAATGGGTGTATTGTATATGTTGTAGGTAATGATACAGGTATATGGTATATTGTAGGTAATAATACAGGTATACTGTATATATATATATATATATATGTTGCAGGTCATGATACAGGTATATTATATATATTGCAGGTAATGATACAGGTATATGGTATATTGATTTAAAGAATGGATCAGGTGCTGTTGGAGAAGGTGAAGCACCAGGAGGAGCTTCATGTACCATGACAATGGACAGTGGTGATTTCCAACAAATGTTCGCTGGCAATTTACAATCAACTATGGCGTTTATGTCTGGTAAATTAAAGATTGAGGGTGACATGTCTTTAGCCATGAAGTTAGAAAAATTATTAAATAAAATGAAAGCCAAGTTGTGAAAGAAAACAAAATAATTATTAATGATATTATAACTATGGTAAAATCAGTGACGGTGATCGTAGCATTTTGAGGATTCCTAAATAAAACGTTCTGGTGAATATGCTTTCTCTGTCAGAGCAGCTAAAATGTGGAATGATCTTCCATAAACTCTTCGAGGGTCCTCTTACATCCAGATCTTTAAGGTTAACTTAAACACATATTTTATTCAAAAATGTTTTTGAACTGTTTTGTTGTGAATGCGCTTAAAAACACTCATGTGTAATGAAGCGCTATATAAATCGAACAATAATAATAAATGGGAATATTGATGATTTCTTTGTATATTTCATTAAAATTGGGTTACAATCAATTTCTAATGAATTATAACATTATTTCAGCTTAAACTCTTCGGTATTGACAGAGAAAAATGCATATTTATTCACATGTGCCTCTCCATTATGAAACCATTTGCCATTTGTGCAAATACAACAACTTTACACAAATATTGCATGATAGCCATTGAAGTTTCCGGATTACAGTGTGTATATATACAATCTGATTATAATACAGATCTATATTTTGTTTCGTTTTTTTATACTTTCGATGGTCTACACTACATGAAGATCTGACCGGTTGTTGCGATAGGTCACGTCAGAGGTCATACGAGCGGCAAGTGAGCCTATGACGTCAATCATTTGATTAACCAATCAGCATTAGTGTTACTTGTGGATTACCCACAGTTCCGTGCAAAACAGCCTGTAACAGCCCATTTCATTGGCTAATACCTCCCACTATTCAGAACACGTCAATGATAACAACTCTTCCAGATCCTAGTGTAGTAAAGACAAGTAAAATGAAATTTTGAACTATGAAAACGACACAAAATAGGATCTGTGTTTTAGTCAGATTGGTATATAGATGTCAATTTTTAAAACAATGCATAGCTAATTAGATTTCACCTCTTGTTTTGTTAACTTCACAATTGATATTTATTTTGTCTAATTATACAATGTTAAAGCAATGTAATGACATTAGTTATCATTATTAAAAGTTTTTTCATACAAGTGGTTAAATGTTCATGATAAAATAATTAAATAAAATAGTATTATTTTCTTAACACACATAATTAATGTGCACATATGTTGTTGTCAGTTGGTCAGAGAGAGAGAGAAAAAGAGGTCCTCTGCACATAAAAGATCCCTTGGCAGTTGGAATTCGATATGAGTAGGCCATAGTGCCATTGCAAGGGCAAAATTTCCCTCAACCAGCAATCCCACCAGAGAGAGAGAGAAATGGGGTTTAACATCCACTTGACACAAACTAGATCATTTTGGGACTAACATATGGTTCAATTTTATTTTAATAATTCGCTTGCACGCACAGGTCTTTACCAACAAAATTTGGGACTTTACCATACTCTGATTTTGGTAAACTTTCAGGATGTCAATCAGTACACAAACTACTGGTAGGGGTCTTTAGCAATGGGAGGAAACCCACGAGTACAAGGTTGATCTTTTTCAATGAGCTACCAAATACATGACATGGAATGAAACAGTGTGTATCGATTACTAAATGCCATTTAAACAACATAAGCCAATAACAAAACAGGTGGACATTGAATTGAAAAAAAATAATAGCAAATAAAGTCAATGGATCGGTGATAAAGGGGGGGGGGGAGCTTGCGAAGCACGAACCCAGCCCCCCCCCCCCCCCTAAAAAAAAACATTCATTTCGCAAAGAGACTAACGTAAATAATTATAGGTTCCGAATGATTGAGGTTAGTTATATCTTTTACTTGACGCTGGATTTGGAACGCCAGTTAATTTGTCCACAACCAAACTCGTCCACACGAAAACCATTAAGCAAACTTAAAGCAAACTTAACCTGCTCTTGGAAAGGAAGTTTGAATATCAAGAGGTCATTACCATTAAATATTTAATTAAAATGAGAAACAGACAACTTACTTATAATATAAGCGTTCTTATAGATGAATAATGTCCCTTTTGGTCTTCCGTCTCCAGTGAAAGTAGGTCAGCAGGTCGTTTGATTAAAGGGGAGTAACTCACCATAGTAAACAATCTTAGAAAAGAAAAACAACAACAAAGTCCAATGCAGCTTGCCTGCACTAGCTGGAGTTACAACTGACTAATGTATCGTCGACGTTACCATTTCCAAAGTCGACTCTCATATGAAATTCTATCAATGAGATCAGGCCTTATTTGGTAAGGTAAGTTATAGTTTTTTTCTTTTAGCGACTCCAATTTATTGCCAAATTTAGAAGTGGAGCTAATCTGAGTCAGGGTTATTAATAAATGAAACAGTGGATAAAGTGTTATAAATAGCCAATTTACCTTGATCGCAGGTTATAAATAAAAAATAAAAAACACTTTGAAACAGAAGAAGCGATATTCTTGATTACGATCGATCCATCGAAAGATTTTATTACCGTATCTACTAATGAAAAAAATAGATGGTGAGTAGACTATAATCTACATTATCATACATGTATGCATTTTATCAACAAAACCCATTGCCCAAAAAACTTTGAGCAACCATGGAATATTGAAACATAAACTATATGTCATCCCTTTCTGATTAGAATTAAAATATTGATAAATTAAAATATAATATTTTTTTCATACCTTTCTGATAGTATTAAAATATAATCATTTTATCATAGATTCTGATAGAATTAAAATATAATCATTTTATCATACCTTTCTGATAGAATTAAAATATAATCATTTTTATAATCATTTTATCATACCCTTTCTGATAGAATTAAAATATAATCATTTTATCATACCTTTCCGATAGAATTAAAATATAATCATTTTATCATACCTTTCTGATAGAATTAAAATATAATCATTTTATCATACCCTTTCTGATAGAATTAAAATATAATCATTTTATCATACCCTTTCTGATAGAATTAAAATATAATCATTTTATCATACCCTTTCTGATAGAATTAAAATATAACTATAATAATTCTTTATTGTATCAGATCTGTACCCGAAAAAAAACATAATTTACGTCTTTGATGTTAGAATTTGAGGCTGGTCATATTATCCTTTGCCTTGTGCTTGATAACGACAAGAGAATACTTGTTGAAAGGTTGCTCTATTAAAGTTGCTATAGTGATTGTTATCCATAAAGTTCTGTTTTCTTTATATATATATATATATAGTTGTAAATATTGATGTTTGCAATAAAAAGTAATTGGCAAGTAACCAAAATATAAGGGTCCATTACATGATATTGATAGTGTAATTATAACCTCTCATTACTGTTTGACATGAGGGAACCATGGTGGCTCAGTGAAGAAGACATTGGCTCGCTAACCTAGAGGTCGCATGTTCAATTAACTTCAATCCCTTCGGGATTTTCTTGCGTGGTTCCCTCTTGTCAGTGATGCAGGACAGAGGACCTGACAAAGAACAATGTATAGTCATTCAGATGGGGCAAAAAAACAAGGTCTTGTGTACCATTGGCATGCACGTACATGTATATCTTGACAATTGGAATTCGATGTAAGTGTAGACCATAGTGCCCCTGTGTGGGCAAAATTTCCCTCGTAGCACTCTGTGTGACGTATGCCCGTCTTCATTAGACCAGTCGAAGCAGAACAGAAGGATGTTAAACCCCATTCTATTTCTTTGATATTACCATTACTTCAAACTTTGTAATGATTACATTTTTTTTATTACTATTACACATTACCCCAGGTCTGTTGTGTGGAGGAGAAGTGTCCACAAGTAGATTTTTTGAGCATTAGAATACATTTTGCTTGCTTCTAGTATGTAGTTAATGTTAAAAGGTTTTTACAGCTCATATTTTTGGGTCGGTCTTAGGGGAAGGGATGGAAGAATGTCCCATTCCAATCAATGTCAATGTCCCCGCCCCCTCCCCCATATTCCACTAGAAACCCTCCTCCAACAGGACAAGGAGTAGGGTCGTCTGTCCAACCTCATGGGTTTTCTCCGAGTCCTCCGGTTTCCTCCCACTGCTAAAGACCCCTACGCGCAAGCGAATTATTGAAATTTAATTGAACCATATGTTAGTCCCGAAATGACCTAGTTTGTGTCGATTGGACGTTAAACCCCATTTCTCTCTCTCTCTCTCTGGTTGTATGTGACAAGGAGTAGGATCGCCTGTCCAATCTCGTGGGTTTTCTCCGAGTCCTCCGGTTTCCTCCCACTGCTAAAGACGCCGTACACGCAAACTTATTATTGAAATAAAATTGAACCATATGTTAGTCCCGAAATGACCTACATGTAGTTTGTGTTGAGGGGACCTCTCTTTCTCTCTCTCTGTCTCTCTTTTTCTCTCTCTCTTTCTCTCTTTCTCTCTTAATGAGTTATACTCATTCCTTTGTTATTATTCCTTTGGGAAAGTATTGCATATTGGAGGTTAAACCCCATTAATCTCTCTCTCTCTCTCTCTCTCTCTGGTTGTATGTGACAAGGAGTAGGATCGCCTGTCCAACCTCATGGGTTTTCTCCGAGTCCTCCGGTTTCCTCCCACTGCTAAAGACCCCGTACACGCAAACTTATTATTGAAATAAAATTGAACCATATGTTAGTCCCGAAATGACCTACATGTAGTTTGTGTTGAGGGGACCTCTCTCTCTCTCTCTCTCTCTCTCTCTCTCTCTCTCTCTCTTTCTTTCTCTTTCTTTCTTTCTCTCTCTCTTTTTCTCTTTCTCTCTTAATGGGTTATACTCATTCCTTTGTTATCATTCCTTTGAGAAAGTATTTCATATCTCTCTCTCTCTCTCTCTCTCTCTTAATGGGTTATACTCATTCCTTTGTTATCATTCCTTTGAGAAAGTATTTCATATCTCTCTCTCTCTCTCTCTTAATGGGTTATATTCAATCCTTTGTAAGCATTCCTTTGGGAAAGTATTGCATATCATGGATATATACGGTGTATACATGCATTAATACATTTACATGACTATTTAAGAGTAATAGAATCCAAATGGCTACCAGACATGTAAATTTTATGATTGTGTAATGAAATAAGTTTGCTTCAGAAAGAGTATAAAATTGTTTCTATTCTCAGGAGAACTTGTATGATATATATTCATTGCCATTTAATTATTTTCTCCCTTTCAATCATTTTTCGATATGTTAATTTAACTTCCGTTAGACTAGATGGTGCCTCTAAAATATAATTTTTGTTTTGACATTTTTGTAGATATATAGGCTTAAAGGAGCTAAATCACTGGAGACGATTGGGTCGCAACATATGTAATAATATAATATGAATGTACCAGTATATAAACTGATTTACATTCAATCGTTTCCGTTTTTACTCTAATTTCAATTCGGTTCTGTTTGGCAAAATACGGTAGAAATCTTAATCGAATGGCATTCTCTAGTATCTGGTTATTCCAGTCTTCACCGATAGTATTTATTGCGCATACTCTCAAGATAAGAATATGGTGTCACCGTTTGAAATGACTTGTGGAATATGTCTAGCCTCGTTCTTCGAGTCCCTTGTTACAAATAGGATTGAAACACATTATGGTACACAATTTGTAAAATGTTTATTTTGTCTTAAATATTGTATATTATAAGCCCATTTTTTCCCGGTAAGTTCACAACATCAATGTTGATTTAAATTGACAAATGATATGTGTTTTCAATGTCGAAGACTTTGGATGATATTGTAACCAGCTTAGGTTCTTATTGATGTTGACAGTTCATCCTTCTGGTCTGTTAGCTGTATCTCCTACCTAATGTCATATAGTAATGATGATACTATATGTGTTGTCCCTTTAATGTAAGGTTGTATGTATGTGTGAGAGAGTGTACACTCCAGTTAACTTGTGTTTTTCACTGTGTGAGGACATCATTTTGTTTTGTGACAGTTTTCCTTAGATTATTGGAATAAACACCTAGAACTTATAAACACTTCTGTTCTGTCATCTAATTACATGAATAGGCTAAATGCCTATTCCACAAGGGGGGTTGGATGGCTGAATGGTTAGCGTGCGCGCGCTGTATCATAAAGTCTGTCATTGAGTCGACTGGCACGGTTTCGAATCCCTGGTTGTACGTGACAAGGAGTAGGGTCGCCTATCCAACCTCGTGGGTTTTCTCCGGGTCCTCCGGTTTCCTACGGGTCCTCCGGTTTCCTCCCACTGCTAAAGACCCCTACGCACAAGTGAATTATTGAAATAAAATTGAACCATGTGTTAGTCCCGAAATGACCTAGTTTGTGTCGAGTGGACGTTAAACCCCATTTCTCTCCCTCTCTTTTCTTATTCATAAATTATAACACTTGATTCAGCTAATTATAAAACTTTATGTAGATACAGTAATAACAATCTTAAGAGATACATATACATTGTACAGAGTGGTATAATAACTACAAAATTATGTTCAACTAAAGAAGTATAAAATCAAGAGTTGGCATTACTATACGTGTAGTCTGTTAGATCTCCTACCTAATTTGTCCTTCATGGGTCAACTTCATATTTATATATTTGATGATGTAACCCCTAGCTACTTACATTACAATTAACATAAACACAACAATTTAGACATAGATTAAAATATTAAAAGAATACAAATGTTAGCTTATAGACATAGAAAATAAACTTATAATATTAACTATATACATGTATTAATATATTACCATTAACATACATTCTTATTAGAATACTCGTTAAGAGGACTATGCTCTAAAGATGTTATATCAGTGTTCAGGTAACCCATAGTTAATTCAACCATAGAAAGATAATTATAAGGTCCCGACAGACCGGGGTGACAGAAAGATAATTATAAGGTCCCGACGGTGAGTAGTGACAATATAGAGTTAGAGACTTAGCTACTTAAGGAGTACATGTAGTCCTTGAAGGACACCATGAATAAACATGGGGAGCCATGTATAGTGTTGGCTCATTAACCTTGAGGGAGGGGGGGTTGGGATGGCCTAGTGGTCTAAAGTGTCGCGCTTTGGCCTCTAGCTGGCCTGTCACCTCTGGCTTGCGGTTGTGGTTTTGATCCCTGGTGTGAGCGTATGCACCTTCTCAACCTCGTGGGTTTACTTGGGTTTTTTCCCCACAGGGAAGACCCCAGCGTGCGCTAAAATAATAGAAATGAAAAATAAGACAACTTGTCTGCAATATCAACTTCCATGGAAGCGGAAGTTAAACACTAAGAAGAAGGATAACAACTGAAATGAAATGAAATGAGGTTTAACTGTACAGCG